GGGGTCTTATTGTCCTCTTGGACAACTCAATAAGACTAGTGGAGTATGTCAACCGTAAGTCCGTCTCTTTTAGTTCTAATCGTTTTAATCGTTCTACATTCTTGTTTTTGGCACACTTTAATATTTATCAACAGAATCAATATGCAGATATCGTTATCAGCTACCTCCTGGAAAGCCTAACCATACTTGTGGTGGGGCAGATATCTGGGCAGATATTGCGAGTAGCAGTGAGGTATTCTGCTCACCAGGGTCGTTTTGTCCCTCTACAATTGTAAAAAATCCTTGCAATAAAGGGTATTGATATCTATTCCTGAAACTCTTAGTTTCTCACTGCTTATCATGTTACTAAATGCTTTTACAGACTCTGTTATAAATCACTTGTTTTACTTCTTATTTTCTCACGTCATTTGTATATTCTAAACTACTTTTATATATGAATTATAGGTACTATTGCAGAACAGGTTCTACTTCTCCAGAGCGTAAGTTGTCCAAGCCTATTAATTATTTGATCTTTCTATGTTGATTTTAGTAGTAAGCATTCTCTTTCTCTATTCTGAAGTTTAGGAAATCTGTACAATGTGAATGCAGGTGAGTTATTAGTTGTGTCAAGTATTCTCGAATAGAGGAGTTGACAAGCATGTTAACATATATCACTCTTAATCTTTTGATATATCACTTTAATTTTACAAGCAATATATTTGTTGGACATCATGGGTGTGAAATGTGGCATGAAATAGCTCTGATGAATCTCTCTCTCTCTCTCTCTGTGTATCTCAGGATGTTTCAAATTGGCAACTTGTGAGCCTAATTCAGCGAATCAAAATATTACTGCATATGGTGTCTTGATTTTTGTGAGTATTATTTACACATTTTTGTTTTGAAAAGAACTACTTGTACATAAGTTATTAGCTAAGACATACAACAAACAACAAAGTCATTATGAAGTGTGAACCATGATTTTGTTTAGTTTTACTTCAAAACGATATTTGTTCTCATCATTTTCTAGTTCTAGGCAACACCTCTTTTGCAAAGGGGAGTAGTTTTACTTGAAATAGGTTAACTTAAATATCCTTATCCTAAGCATATTTTTAATGGTAGAGTGTTACAGAATTAAAAAAAATTTCTGGATACAAGTTTTAGCACGTTTAGGCTACAGGTCCATCATGATCCAATAGAACTGACTCTTAATTTTTCAACACAGGCTGGCTTGTGTTTTTTGCTTATTATCATATACAATTGTTCTGATCAAGTTCTTGCAACTCGAGAAAGAAGACAAGCAAGTACTCGAGAGAGGGCTGTTCAAAGTGTGAGAGAAACCCAAGCCCGTGAAAAATGGAAATCTGCGAAAGATATTGCTAAAAAGCATGCAGTGGGACTACAATCGCAACTATCACGTACATTTTCACGCAAAACTTCAAAGAAGCCAGAGTTGAAAGGTTTTGGTTCTAAACATTCAGATTCTGCTATTCCACCTGCTGGTAAAGGCAAGAAAAAGGATAAAAACAATCTCTCAAAAATACTAAATGATATTGAGCAAAACCCCGATAATCCAGAGGGGTTTAATGTTGAGATAGGAGATAAAAATGTGAAAAAGCAAGCACCAAGGGGCAAACAATTACATACTCAAAGTCAAATTTTCAAGTATGCATATGGTCAGATTGAAAAAGAAAAGGCTTTAGCTGAACAAAACAAAAACTTAACCTTTTCTGGAGTAATTTCAATGGCTAGTGATATTGAGATCAGGAAGAGACCTACTATTGAAGTTGCTTTTAAAGATTTAACCCTCACTTTGAAAGGGAAAAACAAACATTTATTGAGATGTGTAACCGGTAAACTTTATCCTGGTAGAGTTTCAGCTGTCATGGGCCCATCCGGGGCTGGCAAAACAACATTTCTTTCTGCTTTAACTGGAAAAGCAACTGGATGTCACACGACTGGGCAAGTTCATGTAAATGGTCAGGAATCTTCTATCAGGTCATACAAGAAAATCATTGGGTTTGTGCCACAAGATGATATTGTGCATGGAAATTTGACAGTGGAGGAGAATTTATGGTTCAGTGCTAGATGCAGGTATACTATAATATGATAAGCATTTGTTCTCTACCACGACTTTTTATGTTAAACAAGTACGTTTTATAACATGTTCAGGTTAATTATTTGGCTGCAATTTTTCACGAGTTCTGTTGATAAAACGTTAATGACTATATTGAACATGTTTTCTTACAATCAGGTTTTCTCTTTTACTTTTTTACTATGTATGACACTGTAGACTCCCTGCTGATCTACCAAAAGAAGAAAAGGTGTTAGTGGTTGAAAGAGTCATCGAGTCATTAGGTCTACAGGCAATACGAGATTCTTTAGTCGGAACAGTGGAGAAACGAGGAATCTCTGGAGGTCAAAGGAAAAGAGTAAACGTTGGATTGGAAATGGTCATGGAACCTTCCCTTCTAATTTTGGATGAACCCACATCTGGTTTGGATAGCTCATCTTCTCAATTACTTCTAAGAGCACTTAGACGTGAAGCTCTTGAAGGTGTAAACATATGTATGGTCCTTCACCAACCGAGGTAATTTTCACAATTTTTCTACACAGATCAAAACACATCTTAAGTGAACCCCCAAGATTAGTCTCTTGGAATTCTAAACCTTGGTTACTTCAATCCTCCACTTTTCTAGACCCTCTTTAAATCCATGTCAGCAAAAAGTCATTCACCTCTCTCCTTAATAAAAAAGTATAGTATAAAAAGATAAATAAATGACTTTTTTAAGAGTTTAGAGCTGAATAAAGGTTTAGAAAATCTCATGAACTAGAGTGATAGACACTAACTAGTCTAACCTGTGAGTTTGCTAAAATGTACCTGATATATCACACAATGGTGTCATCTACTGAAAATAATGCCTTTTTGTGCATGTGTGGTCTCCAGTTACACCTTGTTCAAGATGTTTGACGATTTTATACTACTTGCAAAAGGAGGTCTTACAGTGTATCATGGACCAGTGAACAAAGTGGAAGAGTATTTCTCAAGCATGGGAATCAATGTCCCTGACCGTGTCAACCCTCCAGATTACTTCATTGACATTTTAGAAGGAATAGTAAAATTAAGCCCAAGCTTAGGAGTGACCTATAAACAACTGCCTGTGAGATGGATGCTTCATAATGGGTACCCCGTGCCCATGGATATGCTACAGAGTGTTGAAGGAATGTCCGCCCCAAGTGGTGAAGGCTCATCAAGTGGAGCAGCAACTGGTGGAGAAGAAGAAGCACCTTCTTTTGCTGGAGAACTTTGGCAGGATGTAAAGTGCAATGTTGAGATGAAGAAGGATATCCTTCACATTAACTTCTTAGCTTCACATGATCTGTCCAATCGGGTTACACCAGGAGTGTTCAACCAATACAAGTACTTTCTTGGAAGGTAATAAATTACAAGAGGGAGGGAATATTTCAATCAGTTTTCAGTTTATTTATTTATTTATTTGATTTTGGTTCATTGCAGAGTGGGTAAGCAAAGACTAAGAGAAGCTAGAACACAGGCTGTGGATTTCTTGATTTTGCTACTAGCTGGCCTTTGCTTAGGTACACTTGCCAAAGTGAGTGATGAATCATTTGGAGCAACTGGTTACACATACACTGTGATAGCAGTATGTAAGTTTCATATCAATTTGTTAACCAGAAAAGTGTTAGTAATACACTCTTTAACACATACTTTTGAACACACCTTCCTCATCGATTGAAATTTATTATAAATCACAAAATAATGAGTGTGACTCACTAAATCTGAACTCGGGTTCATCTAATAAAGTGATTTCTAATAGTAATAGTACTAAGTGTGTTGAAATGAGTGTATTGCTAGCAATTTGTTGTTGTTGTTATTGATGTCAGGTTATCTACTTTGTAAGGTAACTGATGCTTTACTTGCAGCACTCCTTTCTAAGATTGCGGCTTTGAGATCATTCTCATTGGATAAGTTGCACTATTGGCGGGAAAGCTCTTCAGGCATGAGCAGTTTGGCTTACTTTCTATCAAAGGATACTGTTGACCATTTTAGCACAGTTATCAAGCCACTAGTTTACCTTTCTATGTTCTATTTCTTCAACAATCCAAGATCATCAGTCATAGATAACTATTTTGTTCTACTATGTTTAGTCTATTGTGTCACTGGCATAGCTTATGTGTTAGCAATCTTCTTACAGCCAGGTCCAGCCCAACTGGTAAGCTTTTAAATCTGGTTCCACTTTACGTGATTTTTCTGTCTTCATTAATATTACTTTTTACAAGTAATTTGTGGCATTATGCAGTGGTCAGCCTTACTTCCAGTGGTTTTGACTCTTGTAGCAACCTATCAAAACGAAGATGATAGCAAATATGTTAAATATCTGTCAGATTTGTGCTACACCAAGTGGGCTCTTGAAGCATTTGTGATATCAAATGCTAAAAGGTTTGACTTATCAAATGGTAAAACATCCCTTGTTTTTTTCCATATGCTAATTTTAAGACGAGTTTCTCACATGCAGATATGCTGGAGTTTGGTTAATAAGTCGATGTGGTGCTCTTTATTCTTCTGGGTATGATCTTAAACATTGGTATCAATGCTTAGGCCTTCTTATCGTGATGGGAATAATTAGTCGCATGCTGGCATTTTTCTGCATGATAACCTTCCAAAAGAAATAATTTCAACAGTTCCAATCCCTGTATTTCATCTTGGGCGAATTAAAGATGTTTTGTCCACAACATTGATTGGTGATACAGCTTGTAATCTGTGCCCGACAACTATGTAAAGTAGTACATCACATGAAAAAGTTTGGTAGAGCTAGTTTGATAAGTCTTAGGTGTGGATAACTTTGCGTTGTTCTTGCTATTGAGCAAGTTGTGCATAAAGACTAAGCTTCAACAATTTTGAGTTTAACATTATCATTCATGACTCCATCACTCTGTTAGTGGTGACATTATCAATTAATTTGTATAGGTTTTTATTGTTCTATCTTTCAAGTACAGTTTCCTGAATGGTTGGTGGTAATAAACTGATAGTTCGTGCTATGATATCTTAGTATGGAGTTGTGAACACATGATAATAACTCATTTCATTGAACAAGAAAATTTTTTATTGTACTATAATGTCTTAAATTTAAATGAATCTGAGATGTTGGCCGCTCATTGATGTAAAAAGTTAGAGCTACTAAACTTTTTTTTTCTAAATAAATATAATTCTCTTTCACAACCAAGTCAATTTTTGTTTTAAAAAAAAATCTTAATTATAGTTTTTGTTAAGGAAATTAAAGTTTTGATAATCCATTTTGTTTCTATGATAAGGTTCTAATTGAAATAAGAATTGGGTTGCCGTGTAAATTTATATAGATAAAAGTAAAGTTTTGGGATTTTTTATTTTTATTTTTACTCATATAAACATAATTTAATAATTGGCAAGAAACTATTCAGAATGATATACAAGTACAATTATATCACCTTTTTCTAGCCTTTTGCACCTTCTCATATACTTTCTCTACTCCCTCTTACACTACAACCTTGTGTTTCCAACTCCTATTGTTGTCCTATTCATCTCGCCATATTCCCTCCCTATCCAAAGAATTTTGGTATTCCAATATCTCAATCNTGGTAGAGTGTTACAGAATTAAAAAAAATTTCTGGATACAAGTTTTAGCACGTTTAGGCTACAGGTCCATCATGATCCAATAGAACTGACTCTTAATTTTTCAACACAGGCTGGCTTGTGTTTTTTGCTTATTATCATATACAATTGTTCTGATCAAGTTCTTGCAACTCGAGAAAGAAGACAAGCAAGTACTCGAGAGAGGGCTGTTCAAAGTGTGAGAGAAACCCAAGCCCGTGAAAAATGGAAATCTGCGAAAGATATTGCTAAAAAGCATGCAGTGGGACTACAATCGCAACTATCACGTACATTTTCACGCAAAACTTCAAAGAAGCCAGAGTTGAAAGGTTTTGGTTCTAAACATTCAGATTCTGCTATTCCACCTGCTGGTAAAGGCAAGAAAAAGGATAAAAACAATCTCTCAAAAATACTAAATGATATTGAGCAAAACCCCGATAATCCAGAGGGGTTTAATGTTGAGATAGGAGATAAAAATGTGAAAAAGCAAGCACCAAGGGGCAAACAATTACATACTCAAAGTCAAATTTTCAAGTATGCATATGGTCAGATTGAAAAAGAAAAGGCTTTAGCTGAACAAAACAAAAACTTAACCTTTTCTGGAGTAATTTCAATGGCTAGTGATATTGAGATCAGGAAGAGACCTACTATTGAAGTTGCTTTTAAAGATTTAACCCTCACTTTGAAAGGGAAAAACAAACATTTATTGAGATGTGTAACCGGTAAACTTTATCCTGGTAGAGTTTCAGCTGTCATGGGCCCATCCGGGGCTGGCAAAACAACATTTCTTTCTGCTTTAACTGGAAAAGCAACTGGATGTCACACGACTGGGCAAGTTCATGTAAATGGTCAGGAATCTTCTATCAGGTCATACAAGAAAATCATTGGGTTTGTGCCACAAGATGATATTGTGCATGGAAATTTGACAGTGGAGGAGAATTTATGGTTCAGTGCTAGATGCAGGTATACTATAATATGATAAGCATTTGTTCTCTACCACGACTTTTTATGTTAAACAAGTACGTTTTATAACATGTTCAGGTTAATTATTTGGCTGCAATTTTTCACGAGTTCTGTTGATAAAACGTTAATGACTATATTGAACATGTTTTCTTACAATCAGGTTTTCTCTTTTACTTTTTTACTATGTATGACACTGTAGACTCCCTGCTGATCTACCAAAAGAAGAAAAGGTGTTAGTGGTTGAAAGAGTCATCGAGTCATTAGGTCTACAGGCAATACGAGATTCTTTAGTCGGAACAGTGGAGAAACGAGGAATCTCTGGAGGTCAAAGGAAAAGAGTAAACGTTGGATTGGAAATGGTCATGGAACCTTCCCTTCTAATTTTGGATGAACCCACATCTGGTTTGGATAGCTCATCTTCTCAATTACTTCTAAGAGCACTTAGACGTGAAGCTCTTGAAGGTGTAAACATATGTATGGTCCTTCACCAACCGAGGTAATTTTCACAATTTTTCTACACAGATCAAAACACATCTTAAGTGAACCCCCAAGATTAGTCTCTTGGAATTCTAAACCTTGGTTACTTCAATCCTCCACTTTTCTAGACCCTCTTTAAATCCATGGCAGCAAAAAGTCATTCACCTCTCTCCTTAATAAAAAAGTATAGTATAAAAAGATAAATAAATGACTTTTTTAAGAGTTTAGAGCTGAATAAAGGTTTAGAAAATCTCATGAACTAGAGTGATAGACACTAACTAGTCTAACCTGTGAGTTTGCTAAAATGTACCTGATATATCACACAATGGTGTCATCTACTGAAAATAATGCCTTTTTGTGCATGTGTGGTCTCCAGTTACACCTTGTTCAAGATGTTTGACGATTTTATACTACTTGCAAAAGGAGGTCTTACAGTGTATCATGGACCAGTGAACAAAGTGGAAGAGTATTTCTCAAGCATGGGAATCAATGTCCCTGACCGTGTCAACCCTCCAGATTACTTCATTGACATTTTAGAAGGAATAGTAAAATTAAGCCCAAGCTTAGGAGTGACCTATAAACAACTGCCTGTGAGATGGATGCTTCATAATGGGTACCCCGTGCCCATGGATATGCTACAGAGTGTTGAAGGAATGTCCGCCCCAAGTGGTGAAGGCTCATCAAGTGGAGCAGCAACTGGTGGAGAAGAAGAAGCACCTTCTTTTGCTGGAGAACTTTGGCAGGATGTAAAGTGCAATGTTGAGATGAAGAAGGATATCCTTCACATTAACTTCTTAGCTTCACATGATCTGTCCAATCGGGTTACACCAGGAGTGTTCAACCAATACAAGTACTTTCTTGGAAGGTAATAAATTACAAGAGGGAGGGAATATTTCAATCAGTTTTCAGTTTATTTATTTATTTATTTGATTTTGGTTCATTGCAGAGTGGGTAAGCAAAGACTAAGAGAAGCTAGAACACAGGCTGTGGATTTCTTGATTTTGCTACTAGCTGGCCTTTGCTTAGGTACACTTGCCAAAGTGAGTGATGAATCATTTGGAGCAACTGGTTACACATACACTGTGATAGCAGTATGTAAGTTTCATATCAATTTGTTAACCAGAAAAGTGTTAGTAATACACTCTTTAACACATACTTTTGAACACACCTTCCTCATCGATTGAAATTTATTATAAATCACAAAATAATGAGTGTGACTCACTAAATCTGAACTCGGGTTCATCTAATAAAGTGATTTCTAATAGTAATAGTACTAAGTGTGTTGAAATGAGTGTATTGCTAGCAATTTGTTGTTGTTGTTATTGATGTCAGGTTATCTACTTTGTAAGGTAACTGATGCTTTACTTGCAGCACTCCTTTCTAAGATTGCGGCTTTGAGATCATTCTCATTGGATAAGTTGCACTATTGGCGGGAAAGCTCTTCAGGCATGAGCAGTTTGGCTTACTTTCTATCAAAGGATACTGTTGACCATTTTAGCACAGTTATCAAGCCACTAGTTTACCTTTCTATGTTCTATTTCTTCAACAATCCAAGATCATCAGTCATAGATAACTATTTTGTTCTACTATGTTTAGTCTATTGTGTCACTGGCATAGCTTATGTGTTAGCAATCTTCTTACAGCCAGGTCCAGCCCAACTGGTAAGCTTTTAAATCTGGTTCCACTTTACGTGATTTTTCTGTCTTCATTAATATTACTTATTACAAGTAATTTGTGGCATTATGCAGTGGTCAGCCTTACTTCCAGTGGTTTTGACTCTTGTAGCAACCTATCAAAACGAAGATGATAGCAAATATGTTAAATATCTGTCAGATTTGTGCTACACCAAGTGGGCTCTTGAAGCATTTGTGATATCAAATGCTAAAAGGTTTGACTTATCAAATGGTAAAACATCCCTTGTTTTTTTCCATATGCTAATTTTAAGACGAGTTTCTCACATGCAGATATGCTGGAGTTTGGTTAATAAGTCGATGTGGTGCTCTTTATTCTTCTGGGTATGATCTTAAACATTGGTATCAATGCTTAGGCCTTCTTATCGTGATGGGAATAATTAGTCGCATGCTGGCATTTTTCTGCATGATAACCTTCCAAAAGAAATAATTTCAACAGTTCCAATCCCTGTATTTCATCTTGGGCGAATTAAAGATGTTTTGTCCACAACATTGATTGGTGATACAGCTTGTAATCTGTGCCCGACAACTATGTAAAGTAGTACATCACATGAAAAAGTTTGGTAGAGCTAGTTTGATAAGTCTTAGGTGTGGATAACTTTGCGTTGTTCTTGCTATTGAGCAAGTTGTGCATAAAGACTAAGCTTCAACAATTTTGAGTTTAACATTATCATTCATGACTCCATCACTCTGTTAGTGGTGACATTATCAATTAATTTGTATAGGTTTTTATTGTTCTATCTTTCAAGTACAGTTTCCTGAATGGTTGGTGGTAATAAACTGATAGTTCGTGCTATGATATCTTAGTATGGAGTTGTGAACACATGATAATAACTCATTTCATTGAACAAGAAATTTTTTTATTGTACTATAATGTCTTAAATTTAAAAGAATCTGAGATGTTGGCCGCTCATTGATGTAAAAAGTTAGAGCTACTAAACTTTTTTTTTCTAAATAAATATAATTCTCTTTCACAACCAAGTCAATTTTTGTTTTAAAAAAAAATCTTAATTATAGTTTTTGTTAAGGAAATTAAAGTTTTGATAATCCATTTTGTTTCTATGATAAGGTTCTAATTGAAATAAGAATTGGGTTGACGTGTAAATTTTATATAGATAAAAGTAAAGTTTTGGGATTTTTTATTTTTATTTTTACTCATATAAACATAATTTAATAATTGGCAAGAAACTATTCAGAATGATATACAAGTACAATTATATCACCTTTTTCTAGCCTTTTGCACCTTCTCATATACTTTCTCTACTCCCTCTTACACTACAACCTTGTGTTTCCAACTCCTATTGTTGTCCTATTCATCTCGCCATATTCCCTCCCTATCCAAAGAATTTTGGTATTCCAATATCTCAATCTATACTTAAATTTCACTAATAATGAGGTAGATGATTATCTTTTTAAAATTTAAATATTCAAGTGTCACTTTTCTAATATTTTTATATTATGTTATATATATTATTGTTTTAAAAGTTATAAATTATTATTTGGAATAAATGTAACATCCCCACCAAATGTTATATCTTTTTATTATGCCACTAGGACACTCATATTTGGATAATGATATTTTGACAACATTTTTTTGACAACATTTTAAGATCATCTACGTGTATTCTATGATTGCTTTATATTGGTGTTTATGATTATTATTATTGATTGTGGAGTAATTTTTAACCAATCACATAATGACACATAGATGATGTTAAAATGTTGTCAAAAAAATATTGTTAAAGTATCATTATCCCTCATATTTATATATAATCATTATAACTATTCAAAGTTCATAGACTATACATCCTCATCGTGATAAGATTGTAATCACCACTAAGAAGTATATTCACTTCTACCTTTATTGTAGGATAATATACATATTGATTCACTTTATTCTAATTTGTCTATTAGTTGACCCACCTTGCACAAGAATAGTGGATTAATTTTATTAGTTCATCCCGCATAATAATGGACTTATGGGTTTGCATTCTAGTCCGTATAAAAATATCTTAAAGACTTGTTTTCATAATTTTTATTTTAAGTTATTAGTGCTTTCATATTATACTTCTTCTAAATGTATTATGTGAGCTTTTACGTTGATTTTTAGAAAGAATGTTCGTTGATTTTTAGAAAGAATGTTCATTTAACGAATATTTGTGTAGTAATATATGGAGAAATGAGGCAAGATGATTCAATAACTTATTTTCTATCAAATATACTTTGATATTATTCATAATTAGTTTGATATATTACTACTTTTGGTATATTATTTCTAATCAAATTTTTTTCATTAGCTTACTCTTGTATTTGTGTGTCTTTTGTTTCCTTTCTAGTACGATGTTTATATATTTTTATAGGTTTAAGTACTCTTTTATTCTCTATTTTTGTCGACTTTGTTATATGTGACAGTCATTTTTTTAAATGTTCAATGTGATTTTTATTTTAGTAAATTATGTTAAATTTTGTCTTTTTTCATGATGTCATTTAAATTGTTAACTAAAGATTAACAAAGTGTGTCACGTATCACTTCATGATTTTTTTAATTCTTTTAATTTTTTTATTTTATTTTATTTTTTTAATTTTTAATTTTTTCTTAATTTAAAAAAAGTTATCCACAACATTGTGTCATGTGGTAATGTCAATGTCACATGTCAACTTATTGTGTCATTTGTCACTTCCTGATTTTTTTAATTTTTTTTAAAATTTTTAATTTTTTTAATTTTTAAATTTTAAAAAAAATATTTAAAAAAAGTTATCAGGTAACAAGCCAACATGATGTGATGTGGTAATGTCAATGTCACGTGTTAAGTCAATGTCAATGTCACATGTCAAGTTATTGTCATTGTCACGTGTCAAGTCAGTAGTAGTGTCGCGTGTAAGTATTAGTGTCACGTGTTAATGTCTTGTATTCAATTCAGTCTTAATTTTTATTAATTTTATTTAATTGATCATTATTTTTAAAATTAGNTATTTTATTTTTTTAATTTTTAATTTTTTCTTAATTTAAAAAAAGTTATCCACAACATTGTGTCATGTGGTAATGTCAATGTCACATGTCAACTTATTGTGTCATTTGTCACTTCCTGATTTTTTTAATTTTTTTTAAAATTTTTAATTTTTTTAATTTTTAAATTTTAAAAAAAATATTTAAAAAAAGTTATCAGGTAACAAGCCAACATGATGTGATGTGGTAATGTCAATGTCACGTGTTAAGTCAATGTCAATGTCACATGTCAAGTTATTGTCATTGTCACGTGTCAAGTCAGTATTAGTATCACGTGTAAGTATTAGTGTCACGTGTTAATGTCTTGTATTCAATTCAGTCTTAATTTTTATTAATTTTATTTAATTGATCATTATTTTTAAAATTAGATGAAAAATTCTTCATTACTTTTAAAATTAGAAAGAAATTTTTTTAATTACTTTTAAAATTAGAAAGAAATTTTTTAATTACTTTTAAAATTAGAAAGAAATTTTTTAATTATTTTTTAAATTAGAAGGAAAATTGTTTGTCATTTTTAAAATTAGAAGGAAATTTTTTCACTATTTTTAAAATTAGAAGAAAAATTATTCATTATTTTTAAAATTAAAAGGAAAAGTCTTCATTATTTTTAAAATTATACAGAAACTCTTGATTACTTTTAAAATTTGAAGAAAAATTCTAATTTATTTCTAAAATTAGAAGGAAAAATTTACTTTATTTTTAATTAGATGGAGAATTCTTTATTATTTGAAAAAAAATTCTTCATTATTTTTAAACAACCTCTAACCTAATTTTTATATGTAGAACATATCAAACATAAATATAATAATTATATCTCAATAATATAGTTATAGTTGGTTTAAAAATAATGAAAAAAATATATTTAATAAAAATCTAAATTTTAATAAAAATTAAATTTGGTTTCAATTTAAAGAGGAAAAAAATTAGAACTAAATTGATCAAAATTAACAAAAATTGGAACTAAATTGAAAAAAAAAATAACAAAAATTAGGACTAAATTAACTATAAGAGATTGAAACGTCGCATTGACACTAATACCGACTTGTCACATGACAGTGATATTAGCTTGACATGTGACACTAACACTAACTTGACATGCACACTGACACTAACTTGACACGCACACTAACACTAACTTGACATGTGATACTGACACTGTCAGGTGATACAATATTGACTTGATACGTCGACAACATTTTTTAAATTAAGAAAATATTAAAAAAATAACAAATTTAAAAGTTATGAATAACACCACGAATTGACCTGTGACACACTATATTCATCTTTTGTTAACAATTTAGACAACATCATAAAAAATGATCAAATTGAACACAATTTACCGAAATATGAACCACATTGAACATCCAAAAAAATGAGTCTCACGTTGAACAAAGTCGTTGCACACATTATTTATCTTTTATTAACAATTTAGACGGGATCATAAAAAATGATCAAATTAAACATAATTTACCAAAATAGGAATCACATTGAACATCCAAAAAAAGAGTCTCACGTTAAACAAAATCAGCTAAAACAAGAAAAAAAAATATTTAAGTCATTTTTATATATGGGAATAATGGTAACAGTTTATGATAACACTAGCGTGGGATATGTAACAGGAAACTAAAGGATTAACACAATAATATCTTAAAGAATATGTTTAACTTTTTTTAAAAACTGTATTAAGTTCCTATTTTATGTTTTGAAGTACTTATGATTTGTTTTAATGTATTTTGAAATACAGTGTTGTTTAGCTTTAAGAACGGTAATTCATTTCCAATTATTATCACACTGATCTTATGATTATTGAGTACTTAGTGAATGTATATTAGAAGAAATTTGGGTAGTTACAATTGTACTACTGTAACAAGTTGTAAAATGGATAAACACTACTAGTAACCAAATTTAGGGACAAAAATTAATTAATCATTATATTTACTAAGTTAGACTATATTATAAACTAAAAATTAGTAACAATTAAAATAGTTTATATTACTAATAAAAAGTTATAATTGATTTATGAATTAAAATTTTATAGTACCCTTACATTATTAGTTACCAAGGTTATAGTTACTTACTGTTAGTCTCTACCATGAAAATGAAGACTGATTTGGAATCAATAATAGTAGGTTTTTGTACAAAACTAGGCAAATTTGAAGTATAAATTATCGATATAGGCAAAAAAATTTCGAATTACAAAAATAGGTAAGTCGTAAGAGTCCCAAACAACTTCAAATGAAGAAGTTGTGCCTCCTGCACAACTTCACCCTGACACAGTGGTAGGAGGTGAAATTGTGCACCCAAAACCGATTTAAGGGTATGATAATCGATTACCCGGCCTTGTAATCGATTACCATGCCTTTTTTCATAAAAGAATAAAAAAAAATTGAAGTTGTAGTGAAGGTTGACGACTTCTCCTATTGCATTCGTGCACCGCCTACACATTTTTACTTTTATTTTAATTTTCTTATTAAATAAAAACGTTAATAATTTGTAAATAATGTTTTTAAATGTATTTAAAATAATTAAGATTATATCTAATTAATAATTAAATTTTTTTAATATTATTAAATAAATAAATTTCACGATTTTAATTATTTTTGTAATTAAATTAAATTTTTTATAAAATAACTTCAATTAAATAATTTATAACTATAAATATTGTAATTATGTAATTAAAAATTCAAAAAAATTATATTTCATTATAATTTATTTTTTTGAAATTTTATAATTATAGTATATTTTTTTACAAATTATAATTAATTAATAACAATTTTTTT